AGTCACATGTGAGTTAAATTACTTTTTTAGGACTTCAAATTAACAAACAAATGAAGCGACATCATAATCTTAAAGCAAATATGTTAATAGAATTTTGAAACGCTTTGAACTGGATCTATTCAGTAAAAATAACACCCATACACTACAACATCTTAGACAAAGATGAATGGGTAAAATGTTGATCAAACCTATAGAGAATGATCGGCTCTTTACTCTATTTAACTGGCTATGTAGACCGGCATGTATGTTTAGTGTATTTTGTGCTAGGTATCAAGCAAATCCAAAAGAATCTACATTTGAAAGCGTAAAAAGAACTTTTTAATATTTAATAAGATAACAACCAACTATGTTTATTCTCAATAAATCTAGTTAATTTATCGATTTAATTTGCAATATAGTGATGTGGATTTTCGGCGATGTAAAACTGATAGAAAGGGCACAAGTGAGCACTGTCATTTTTTAGGACACTGCCTTAATATCTTGGTTTTAGCAAGAAACAAAATTCAGTTTCTTTATCCACAACTGAAGCCGAATACATTGCTGCCTAGTTTAAGCATTGCTCAGAGTTATGTGATGAGCCAAACTGTGTTAGACTATTGTATTAAATGCAAACTTCACAAATAATTTTGTGAAACCACTAGTGCTAATATAATTTTCAAAGAATCGGTACATACCTCCCGTACGCAAACAATAGATAGTTAGACATCACTTTCTAAGCGAGATCATGTTCTAAAAGCAGAATCTCTTTAGAATTTTTGTTTCAACCAGATAACACAAATTGCCGACTATATTCACAAAAACACTAAAAAAGAAACTTTGTAAAAATTTAGAACGCGAATTAGTTATGTACAATAAATTGACATTAATTGATATATATGTGTGTTATATTTTGTGTTACTATGTATTTTGTGAATGAAATGTTTGAAATATTATGTGTATTATCTTTAACAATACTATAAGGTTAACCCGAAGTTTTACACAATGTTGTGTAATTCAGCTGTCTGGTCGACTATTTGACCTGGTCGATCCAAGACACGGTTGATACCTGGAGCAGTTAACGATATCTGTCACTATCTGATCGACCAAGGAAACTGGTGGTTCGACCAAGGCAGCAGTTATGCCAGTTTGATTTTTTTTTAGACATCTAGTCTTTAATACACATTGACACTTTTACAATTCCCACCAACCCTTAGAACTCCTTGAGAGACTCATTCAAAGAATCTTTGACTATTGGGTACACAACCTATTGAATGAATTTTTGACTCATTGAATGATCTTTGACCCCATACTTGAAAACCCTCTATTTCTCTTTATAAATAGACTACCTTCATGGCTCATTCTTCTCTCACACCTTAGCCTGCTCTAACATTTCAAGAAGTTGAGAATTCTCCTTGATATTCATGTCTAACTGTCTAAAAGACCATCTCTTCCAATCCATGATCGCAAAAAAGGAGCAAGATCAACATAGATCGGATGTGCTTATCACCAATATCTCACAATCCGGATTAGCAAAGGATTTGTAAGTTCTCAGTAAGCGTGCCAGCAAGCACCGCGTTGCACCAAATTTTCCCGATATTGGGCATGTTATCCTGTTAGAAAATCTTTTCAAAAATACGGGGTTGTTTGAACTGTTTTCATAAGAATGTTGTTCCTTGCTATCGCTTTTCTTGTGAGATTTATTCTATAGCAAATATGAGTTACAAGATAGTTTCTGCAAGTCTATGGTGAGACTGTACCAATCAAGCTCTCTCCTAAGAAATTTCGCCAATATTACTGCAATATAACGCAATCCGGGTGCAACTTATGAGTGATATCGAGATGACCGATCCGGAAATTCTTGGCTTCTTATGCTAGAAGATGGTCAAAATCTTCATCTTG